TGTTCCAGTATATTATGTCAGACTTGCTCAAAGGAATTAAGAATGTAGAATGTTCAATGGATGATATACTCATTCACAGTACCTAACAATGAAAGAGACTTGCAAAAGATTACGAATGAAGTAATGACAAAGCTGAGTGAATCAGGACTTACACTTAAGCCCCCTGCAGACGGGGACAGTAGTGGCGTCCAGTAGACCTAGCCATTAATGGCTGCCAGTAATTGTCCGCCTACTGTCTACGTGTGATGAGGTACTGGACGCTTCAACGGCCAGTAGCTACTGGCCGCCAGTAAAGACAAAATAGTTTGAGTTTACTGGCCGCTCAGAGGACAGTAGTGTGGTCACGTGACCTACTGACAGCCATTTTTCCTAACCTTAAATGTTCTAGTCGCAATTAGAGCACCGAGGAAACTGTTGTCGGTCCGTGATTTCCGTAACGAAATGTACAATCTAGGCCTATTATTAAGTTTTAACCTATAACTTATAGACGCTGGACACATTCATTTAACTTACTATCAGACATGAAACTTGAAATTATTGTGTTTGCTGGTACTCGAAAAAATATTGCGAGTGATTGATAGGAATCGCCATTGGCTAAAAATCGGACTATGGGAACGGGGGTTTATGGGGGGTGTTTTATGGGGTAAAAATAGGGGTTTCCCATTTTTGACCCTAAAAACAAAAATTTCACAATTTCTTTTCACACCATTTTGTATAGCTTAAAAAACAAATAATTAAGCATATTGAAGCGTTATTGTGTGCCTAATGGTTACGGAGAAAATTCAAAAAAAAATGTAAATTTAAATTTCCCATGTTATTTTTATGGAGAATAATTCAACTGTTGTAGTTTGCTTGTTTATGAACATATTTTGATTGAATTTGGAAAATACATTCATTTCTTACTAAACTATTAACATTTTACAACAAAAACACTTTTTTACCCTCCCTGTTGCAGCAAACCTAAGTACTCGTTAAACTAATTCTATTTAAATAGGGAATAAATGTGATATTTTTAAGGAGGCATTTTAGTGTAAATCAAATCAGGATAATAGAAAATTTGCTTAGTCTGCAGTTTTGCAGTGGCGGGGGTATTTACTATATCTTCCAATTCTTCACTCAAAACATTAATTACTTCATCGACAACTTCTTCAACAACTTCATCTACTGCATTTTCGTATTCCAAGTCAAATTCATCCATTTTGATACTGTGGTGTCACACTGGCCGCCACTAAAACAGTTTCTGTGGCAGCCAGTACTGTCCCCGTGTGTAGGGCTACTGTCTTGACAGTACAGTGGCCGCCACTTGTGGACGCCAGTACTGGACGCCACTACTGTCCCCGTCTGCAGGGGGCTTTAACAAAGAAAAGTGTATATTTGCCAAACCGTTGGTGAAATTTCTTGGTCACATAGTTTCAGACCAAGGGTTACAAGCTGATCCTGACAAAGTAGCAGCCATTTCAAGAATGAAGGAACCCACATGTTTGTCTGAGCTTCAGAGATTTTTGGGTTGTATAACATACTTGTCAAAGTTTATACCAGATGTTTCGGTTGATACTCAACCTCTAAGAGTTCTCACTGAGAAAAATGTGGCCTGGTTCTGGGATACACCACAACGAGAAGCATTCAACAAGTTAAAGCAAAAACTGCAAAGAACTCCCGTGCTTCGTTACTATGACCCTAACTCTCCTGTGACTCTATCTGTGGATTCAAGCAGTTATGCAGTAGGTGCTGTTATGTTACAATCTGGGCAGCCCTTAGCTTATAATTCCAAAGCGTTGACTCAATCGCAACAGAACTACAGTCAACTTGAAAAAGAGACATTCGCAATACTGACTGCTTGCAAAAGGTTTCATGAGTATGTATGGGGATGCAAGGAGTTGATTATTGAATCAGATCATAAGCCTTTAGAGGCTATCTTTAAGAAACCGTTGTCTGACGCTCCTCCCAGAATCCAAAGAATGTGTTTGGAAATATTACCGTATCGACCAAGAGTTGTCTACAAGAGGGGTTGTGAGCTTCATCTGGCTGACACCTTGAGTAGAGATTGCTACAATGACAACCAAGATGATGAACCTCACAGCTTTGATATTCAGTTGATAATTCCTATGTCTTCTGATACAGTTTCTCGAATCAGAACTAGTGTTGGAAAATGCACAGAGCTTTCTAAATTGAAGGAAATGATCTTGAATGGATGGCCCGAAGAAAGAAGCACTGTTGACAAGGAATTAGTAAAATATTTCACTTTCCGAGAAGAACTAAGTTGCTATGATGGTCTTTTGTTTAAAGGAAGCCGTTTGATTATACCTGATGAAATGAAACTTGAAGTGTTACAGAATATTCACCGTCCTCACAAATGTGTTCAAAGTTCAATTAATACAGCACGTGACTATGTATATTGGATTAATATGGAAAAAGATATTGAACAATATGTAGCAAGGTGCAATGTATGCAGCAAATATCCACGAGATAAACCTCAAGATGTGATCCTTCAAGAAACAGTACCAGTGAGGCCATGGCAGTTCATCGGAGCTGATGTTTTTGAATGTGGAGGTAAAGACTTCTTAGTAGTTGCTGATAGTTACTCAGGATATTTTGAGTGTGAAAATCTTAGGAACAAAAGTAGCATCACTGTTATTACACACCTAAAAAAGTACTTTGCAACTCACGGTATTCCAGATGAACTAAGAACTGATGGAGGACCATGTTTTGCTTCTATGGAATTTACTAAATTCGTATCCGAATGGAAATTTAATCATAGAATTTCATCTCCTCATTTTCCAAGATCCAACGGGCTAGCGGAGAGGTATGTTCAAGAAGGAAAAAACTTAATTGTCAAGTGTCAAGAAGAACAGTCCGATATTTATCTTGCACTTCTTCATCACCGTAACACACCAAGAGGTAACCTAGGTTCCCCAGTTCAGCGGCTGATGAGTAGGAGGACAAAGACTCTACTTCCATCTACAACCAACCACCTTATTCCGATGGTCATAAAAAATGTTTCAAAACAGCTAGAAAAAATTAAAAGACGAGAGAAGCTGTACGGTGATATGAGGAAGACAGAGCCTGATCAGTTTCAACTCGATGAACCAGTGCTTTTCAGATTCAAACCAAAGTGTTGGCTGAGAGCAAAGATTGTTCAAGTTGGTCCTGAACCTCGATCGTACAAAATCCAGACTGGTGATGGACGAGAATACCGAAGAAACTCATGGTTCCTAAGAAGAGACAAGTCATTCAGAATCTCCCATGATGTTAATAAAGGTCAATCGTCCAGGTCAGAATTACAAAACAATGACTCAGCTCCTGTTGTAAGACGAGGGGAAAGGATTAGAAGAAAACCAAATCATTTTGACTTGTGAAGGAGGGATGACAGTAGTAGTTAATATGTTAATAACATATGGTAATTGTTCAACATATGTTTTGTGTTATTGTTTGATATTTTGATTGAGTTTTTGTTAAAAATAGAAATACACAACCTTTCATGATCTCAGTATAATTATTTAATAATTAATTTAATGACATAGGGCACAAGGGCATAGGGCATGTTTGCAGACTATCGCCGCGCCGGTTTAAATTTAGAAAATATACCTATGATTTTCACACGGACAGCTGTATGATGCGTGCTCACGTGGTGGTAGGTACGCCTAAAAACTTGTTTTTTGTACACTTAAGTTTACTTATTTATTTTCAAAAATCATCCAATTTGACCAAATATGATTGATATGTTGATATATAAGTTGTACTTTCCAATGGATAGGTACTAGCCCTGATTACATTATGAATTAATACCTCGATTAGTCGATTTGTGAAATGCTCTGAATGAGTTCTTTAAATGGAAACGGTTTTAGAACATGTGGGGCTTAACCTAGTCCCATGTTATAGGATTTGTATGGAAACGGGTCTTTAGAGGTCAAACAAGGGATGTTTAGAGTGGCAATTACATCACATGTAGGTCTTAAATCTTAAAGCTATGGTTCCACAGGATGCGGAATCTCCGCCGTGCGGTGCGATTTCTTCCGCTACGGAATTACAACGACACTGGTTTATGGAGTTCTCATGTGTGCGGTTTCACTGACGTGCGTTTCCGCATCCCGAATTTTCGGTTCCGCATGGCGGACAAATCATACTGGTCTGAGAGCAGTGGCAGTGCGGATTCCGCTAGCGGAGAAGAGCCATAAATTAATTATTGTGACCGATCAATAGTTTTCTTACATTATTTCAATAACGTTATTCTTTTTGGGGCTAGTATTTTTATTAATGTATCAATAAAACTACAATTTAAGCTCAAATTGTCATTTTAATAATGTTCACTATAACCATCCTCATAAAAAATTAAAAAGGTGATTTTTAAGAACTATGTCTAGCGTCAGTTTACAATAAAAGCAACCAAAATTACAAATAATTAAGTCTGAATATTAGGCTACTCATATTATTTTATGGTACTTATGGTATTATACTTGTGTTCCATACTCGTCGCTAGTTTGGACAGAACTGAATTTTCGCAACGTTATTTCCGCAGTCAGTGGAACCACCCCTCCAGATTTAGGCTGCGGAAAATTACGCACCACGCAGCGGAAGTTCCGCATTCTGTGGAACCATAGCTTTAGAATGTTGGCATGATAAGTGAGTGGATATTTTTTAAATGATTACGATGATGAGGTAAGTAAATACCATCACAATTTAGTAGATCCAATATTAGCACCTTAAATTAACAAAATCTCGTAATCCTACAAATTAAAGAGACAAGCATGTTTGATAAGATTAACTTGCAGTGGCTGATAAAATTTAGTATTGTTAATAATTATTTCTATCACTTTTGCAGTATAGCCAAAATAAACCCCTAGTGGCAAACCAAGTGATAGTAAATACAAAAAGAGGGCCAAATGATTCACTTGGGTTGGACCAAATAAATTAAAAAGCTGTCTGGAAACTGCAATTGTTATTGCAAATACTATAAGCCATGTCAATAATTATACCGATTTGGGTTTTGTGGAGTTAATTACCCTTGTGTCTGAGAGTCGCAGCAGAGTAGACAAGTGACCTACGTCGGAGGTGGATAGGTATGGACTGACGCGGAACTTGTCCTCCAACACTGCAACCTGAGCTGCAGAGAAAGGGATGCGAGGGTTGCGGCCCAGCTTACGCCGTACACAACCTTCCTTCTTCTTCGACCCTGCACAATGCACACAGCTGTAATAAGTATTTGGTACTACGAGGTTGCGGTCCAGCTTACGCCACACACAACCTTCCTTCTTCTTCGACCCTGCACAATGCACACAGCTGTAATAAGTATTTGGTACTACGAGGTTGCGGTCCAGCTTACGCCGTATACAACCTTCCTTCTTCTTCGACCCTGCCCAATGCACACAGCTTTAGTTAGTATTTTGTACTCCTTCCTTCTTCTTTGACCCTGCACAATGCACACAGCTGTAATAAGTATTTGCTACTACGAGGTTGCGGTCCAGCTTACGCTACACACGTCCTTCCTAGTTAATGCGTGATTTAACTTCAAACAAACAAACACACACACTTTCATATTAATATTAACAAAGATTACGTATGCTACGCAAAATAGATATTGCACCTTATGGCAATTTTGTGCCAAGTCGTTTTTGGATAGGGCCACCCTCTAGTAGTTGGGTGGTCCCTCAACAGACTAACAGAGGCGCTGTGTCAAGTCTCGATCTGCATTACCATTCAAGTTCGGGTGAGTTCGGTAATGTTCGCGTGCTCAGGATTAACTTGCCTGTACGCAACGCGCTCGCCGACCCGTCGTCATCGTATATCTAGTTTGAAAGTGCACAGCTGTCATTAATGTACCATAACTTTATCTTTTTACAAAAATAGCAGTTATCTAAATACATAAAAGGCAAAGCCCTCACTCACCCACTCACTCATTCACTCACTCATCACTAATTCTCCCACTTCCCATTTACCTAGGAGGCTGAAATTCGGTACACCGATTCTTTGGGCATTAAATAGGAAAACTAAGTAGTTTTTATTCTGATCGGGCTTTCGGGCTCCGCCCCAATGGCTCTGGAGTTTCCCCTGTTAGCCTTATGATTTTTTCATACTTAAAAGGAATTAATAAATCTTCTGTTTCAATTAAACAAGTTGGTTCTGTTCTATGATGTTCAATAGCATTAAAGTTACAAGGATTACCAACAGGGTGCAGCACTATTATTTTTTTAAATTTATGACAACAGCTAATTTGCAACCAAAAGGTGAGTGAGCGTAGCGAACGAACTTCAACCTGGAGGCGAGTTAGCGTAGGGAACGAGCTAAACCTGAAGGCAAGTGAGCGCAGCGAACGAGCTCCAACCTAAAGGTGAGTAAGTGTAGTAAACGAAGGACGTGATTGAGCGATGCGAACGAGCTCATCTTGAAAATGAACGAGCATTTGACATAAAACCACATTAGGACAGGACGATGTTTGTCGTGCAAAAAAGTTGTGTTACACAATGAGAACTTTTACTTTTTTCTATAGTTTAGGTGCAGTTGTAGATCATTAGGGCTATGGTAGATGTGTGCTACACTATAGGACACCTTATAAATTAAAAGACAAAATTTTCTTAAACCGTGTCCTCTCCCATAACTGTAATAAGCATTAATACTTACATGCCAACCCTGTACGAAGGACGGGTACTCTGCTAGTTAATTATTAAATCGAACCACTGAAAGTTGGTTAACGTATTTTAACGTGTTGTCTGTCAGTCTCACGTTTTTCAGTGGAGTTTCTCTAAATACCTGTCCCAACGTTTTGAAAGTATGGATTCATTTGTCGAAATAGGTTGGATAACTCTTGTAGCTATACGATTTGGATAGCAATTTTCGTATTCTCTTTTTGAACAGCGTACATTATATGCCTTTCCTAAATCATAAAAATAAACTTGACCGTAACAACTCGATCGTTGAATACATAAACACTGATTCCTTCACTTATGTTTGGTATAATATGTATTGCTACTAAAACTTTCAATAGCAAATGAGTTGTTGAAACTTCTTATTTTTGACTTGAAATGTCTGGATTGTGTTGGTAAATTCAGTCAATAAACCTTGTACAAGTTTTTCCGAGGAACTGGCAACATAACCTAGAAGTAAACAATCCATTTGCGTTTTTTTCTCAATTGAAGTAGAGCAATAAAATACAAAAGTTTACATTAAAAACATAAGGTCCGCCAAGATTTGGCATAATCTTACTACTTGAACTCATCATAGTCAAGGCATTAATATAGTTTATACTAAATGTTTTGAAATATCTTGTTTTATCTTTGTCAGAAGTAAACATTTCTTGCATGCATTCATTTGATCTGACATTAGGCAAGTTTACTTTACCACCGTGACAACACTATGTGCTTCCTATATTTTTTCACTTCCAAAGTGAGTTGCATAGCAGAACCATCGATGTAAAGCAGAACTGGCAAATATTATTCATATCACCAAGTGAATGTGTATCTGGATGCGTTTCTTTAGACCAGGCCTCTCTTTTCTACTCTCCTCATACGCATAAGATATATTATTAATAATTGTCTCCTACTCACGTTTTCAATATTTCTTCTTTGAACTTGAGGCATTTTCTGTTCTTCCTACAAAACTGATTACCGGTTTAACTTGGTCTTAACCAACTCAAATATTACAAACATTAATATTTACTCCCAAAAAGCTAAGGAGTTTCTTTTTATAAACAGCTGTTTTTTTGTTTTTAAAATTGTTCTATGTATTTCTTATAGTGGGGTCATATAGCTGCATATAGTGGCAGAATATTTCAGTTCTGGTGGAGAGGCTGCAATTTTAGGTGGTTATAGTACGGTATACAAGTTTCTGAACATAAAACCGCCCAGACCCCAATTTTTAAGGACCTCGGTCGTCTGTAATGACGTCATCAAAATGGCGACCGTAAGAGGATGCTGGGTCCCCATGAATTGGCTATAACGACCGAATGCCTGAGCCGATTTTTATGAAATTTGGCACACAAGTACTTTAATACATTATCTCGGCCCAGGTTGTCAATGGTCGAGTTTGATTAAGTCGTTTCAAAATGGGGGCCGTTAAAAGCTAAAATAAAAAATAATCTTTCAGTGTTTTGTGTTCTCAACTCCCTCCAGAGATCTGCAGCAACCTATTCACTTTCCTTGCAATCAAAGGTTGCATTACCGTCTCTGCATTTCATGGAATAGGCAAAATACCCCCACCACAGCCAACCTGCAGATTAAATGAGTTTCCATTTCCCTGATTTGATTTTCAAATAAATCAATTTCAATAACATTAGGTTTCACGAGTAACTAGGTTTGCTGCTACAAGGAGATTAATAAAGTGAGTTTTTATTAATATATTAATAACTTGGTTTAAAATAAAGTACCTGGGGACCGAGCTTTGCTCGGGGAAAATCATTCCCCCACTCTGCGATGCCAGCCTTTACTACTTCCTTCACCATTTCCTACGTCACGGACCTGTTTCTTTCCCTTCTCATAGCATTTAAGTATTACAGATACATTAATCTAACCGCCACAAACGGTTCCCACACTCTGCGATGCTAAACTTTACTACTTCCTACGTCGTGGACCTTTTTTCATCTTTTTCCTTAGCATTTTAGTATTTTAAATACATTAATATAATTTCCACAGACATTTCCCAAACTCCGCACTGCCAGCATTTACTACTTTTTTCACCATTTCCTATGTCTTGGACATGTTTCCATCCCTTCTCATAGCATTTCAGTATTTCAATTTCAGACACATAAACCTAACTGTTACAATTGGTTTCCAGTTCCCAGACTCCACACTGCTCGCCTTTGCTACTTCCTTCACTTCTTCCCTACGTCACGGACCTGTTTCCCTCCCTTCCCATTGCATTTTAAGATTGCAGATACCTTAATCTAATCCTCATAAACAGTTCCCACACTCCGGATTGCTCGCCTTGACTACTTCTTTCACCACTTCCTACGTCTATGACCTGTTTTCCTCCCTTCCCACAGCATTTTAGGATTGTATATACCTTAATCTAATCGTCACAAACAGTTCCCACACTCCGGACCGCTCACCTTTACTACTTCCTTCACCACTTTCTACGTCGCGGACCTGTTTCCTTACCTTCCCATAGCATTTTAGGATTGCAGACACCTTACCATCCTTATGGAACAGCTGAAGCCACTTTTATTGTTAGTTCTGTCTGGTTTTCTGTAGATGTCGTGTTTTGTTTACAATTTGTTTCTATTATTTTAGGGTTAGTTTCTCATTATTTGTGTCTCACTGTTTGGTTAAATATAGCCAACGATAGTATTATAAAGTACGGTAATATAGTGAACGAGTTATCGTTTATGATTGAATAGTACTATTTGGTTAAACGAGGTTTTAAATTACTGAAATAGCAAGAAACAAATTGTAAACAAAGCACGACATCTTCAGGAAACCGGACAGAACTAACAATAAAATTGGCTTCAGCTGTTCCATAAGGATGGGAAATCTACCTTAATCTAATCGTCATAACAGATCCCACACTCCGCACTGCTAAGTTAGCCTTTACTACAATGTATCGAGTAAGCTTCAGTATAATCATTGCTCAATAGTAACAAGTGATGTTTTTTTGCTTTTGTACTGTATTTTGTAATTACTAGTATACTGTGGGTAGTTGCCTTTATGAACACATGTGTTACAACTTACAAGCATTGAGATCTTACAAGTCTTTCGTTTACTTTTTCCTTGTTATTTAATTCAACCAACATGGTTACTTAGCAACCCATAAGACTAATGTTAAAAATATGTGACTTTCAGTTTTATTTTTCTACGTAATTAGATTTTTGTTGGCAGTTCTAACTGCAGTTATCTCGTTTTTATGCCAAAAATAAACTATTTACAATATTTGAAGAAAATCGTCGGAGCCGTTTTCGAGATCTTTCTGCAAGCAAGCAAGCAAGCATACATACATACATACATACATACATACAAGCAAACATTGCTCGTATTAGAGTATAGGATAGGATAAATTTGCAAGTTTCATTAAAATACTAGCTGGCCCGACAGACGTCGTCCTGTCCTATTGTGGTTTTATGTCACATGCTCGTTCATTTTCAAGATGAGCTCGTTCGCATGGCTCAATCACGTCCTGGTTGAAGTTCGTTCGCTACGCTCACTCACATTTTGGTTGCAAATTAGCTATTCTCATAACTTAAAACAA